TAATTACCGAATTAGTTTCTGTATCGCATATTGCGTACCGCGCTACATATAATCGCATCCTCAGTGTTGAGTCCACTAAACATGCCCATTAACTTTTAACTGGTTCAAGGATAAATTCAAGGATTAACTGGTTTAATGAAGTTTTTATCCTTCACTTTATCTAACTTTTTTCAGATTTGTGATGTAAAAATACAAGGAGTTTTACTTTTATGTGCAGTCGACCTATCAGGAAATTGGAAAATCCAAAATATTGGGTCATCTAAAAAGTATCCGCGGTTTTCTGTCACTAGATGTATGTTGATGGTCATATATCTAGTGACAAAGTACCGCGGATACTTTTTAGATGACCCAATATTTTGGATTTTCCAATTTCCTGATAGGTCGACTGCACATAAAAGTAAAACTCCTTGTATTTTTACATCACAAATCTGAAAAAAGTTAGATAAAGTGAAGGATAAAAACTTCATTAAACCAGTTAATCCTTGAATTTATCCTTGAACCAGTTAAAAGTTAATGGGCATGTTTAGTGGACTCAACACTGAGGATGCGATTATATGTAGCGCGGTACGCAATATGCGATACAGAAACTAATTAGGTAATTATAGAAACCGCGTAAATCGTGCCGTTTGCTTCTTTTCCCTTCTATTACACGTAGCGTGGTAAACGACGCAGGCTAATGACACATAAACTTTAATATGAATTTTTTAAAATATATTAACTTATTTCTATGCACATTTCACATACTCTTATTTTTCAACGGATTTACTTAATAATTGCATTTAAATCAATTAATTCTATTAAAAAGTGCTTAGTAACGTGAATTTGTCACTGGCCGTGCTACATGTAAGGGCGCGTTCACATCTTGACGGAAAAGCGGAAAGCGGAGATGCAACAGTCAATCAGAACTCTAATAGTCTACAATTTCGGCTTTTTATACTATTTACTACCAGCACGCGTTCTGATTGGCCACTGTTTTTTCGCTTCCTTTCAAAGTGTGAACGCGCCCTAGGGGTGATGTCCCATGCAGCGGATCGTGCGTAAGTGGATACGCGTATCGTCAATTACAAAATCATTTTCTTAAATTTGTTTGCAAATTTCGCAAGCAGATCTAAGAGAATGATTCTGTGATTGGCAATACGAATATCCGCTTACGCACGATCTGCTGCATGAGACATCACCCTAAGGAAAAAAAAACAAGCGGCTGTAATTCTTATTTAAATCTAACAAAAAAATAAAGATAAGAACTATATTAAAGAATCATATAAAAGTATCGATTATTGATCTCTTGTATATTGAAGATGCCCTTACCATCTAACAATTAAAGCAGGAATAATCAGAAGTAAAGATAAATAACAACAAAGCAAAATATTGTTAGGAAAAGTTAGAAATTTTTATTTTGCATGTACGTGCTTATCAATATTTTACAAAGCTTGCAAACTGATAAACAAAATTGGTGAGAAGTTAACGTGATCGCTAATGGTAAACACCAATATGCTATATCATAAAAATGATTTTTTAAAAAATAGAAAAAATTTGTAAACATTCTCGCAATCATTCACACATACTTGGTCGTTAATAAATTCGTTATGCAGATAACAGCACTGTTGCAAGCACGAGATTGATTTCTCTCAGCGAGTTTTTGTTTTCATTTGTTTTCGCAAATTCTAAGTTAATCTCAGTTACCATTGCAAGATCACAATATCTCCACTCTTCGAAATTGACAAAAGAATCTCTCGCATGAATTAGAATGCGCAAAATAGTTTGACCGACTGAACGCAATCAGGTGCATTTATCACTTACACAAAATATCAGGGTACGATCAAGAAATATTCTTAGATAACTGTTTGCTATAATTCACTTTACGTAAATTATGGCAAAAGTGAACTAGAGTTTTCTGAGCGTAATTCCTGAACGCACACCTAATAGCGATACAATTGACTCACCGAGAAAAAGAATTGTCCAAATATTTCATCAGAATATGCAACTATAAAATATATAATGAGTTTTTATGTAGCAACAAACATACCGATAATTTCCATCCATTTCTCGTTGAGTTGCATTATCTTGTTAAAGAAAATAAACGGAATTAATGTTTGAAGCAGCCAGCTTTGCTTACTTCATTTATAAATCTATTCATCAATTTATCGTCCTCAAGCTTGGCGAAATTTTCTGTTTTCACCACAGCTCTCATATGAATAACGGCAAAGCGGACGCAGAATTCTCTCAGCTCCTAAAAAATTACCGACAGCATTTAATTATTGTACATGAATACATAAAATATACAATGAAATGTTAATAGTAACAACGTTTGACTACCTCTGTTTCATATTTCACTGCAAAGTTATAAAAGTAGACGACATTTGATACAGTAATTTCTTGCTTTATTCTATAAATGCACTGCTTCTTGAGGTTATCCTCATAATAAGCATTGGCCAAATCAAAAAGTTCTGTTAAAAAAAAAACGTTGCTTCAATATTTAACGCATTCAGCGGATTCAATAGTTAAATGAGCGTTCGCTGCTATTGATGTATTCTTTCAAATCTGAAAGTTTGATTGAATGATCTAGAAAAATACCAATATCAACGTGCAGTTATTGAAATATTTAGACCGCTGAATATGTTCAATGAATATTTAGGTCAATAATCGCTCATAATAAACTCCACTTACCTGATACCTTCTCAAAGGTATTTATAAGATATAAATCGATTGTATTGGTATATAAATACTTCAGGTATGCTTTGTAGACGTCATGGGAAATTTTATCAACCTTGATGACACTGTTGAGAGAGAATGTTGACATGAGCAAAAACTTGAGAAAATTTTACATAAATGACACTGATATTTATTAAGCTATTACCTTTGGTTGTTTTCTGCCCAATCATGCGCAAACATATTTCTGAAGTGTGAAGAGCAAATTGTCAAGATAATCTTGTGCACATGGATACATTTGTCGTCCACTTGTATTTTGAGATCGCTTGTTGACTATATCACAAACGAGAGAACAAGTCATTAGAAACAAATGTATATAATAGTATTATAATAGTATGATACATAAAATAATTGTCACATTTATCTAAAATCTGGAACAAACTCTATTACACTACTAATTAAAATACTCGCCCCAGTTTCGATACCTTTTTTACTTAGAAAGAAATTTCTAGAACTTTTGAAAATACTTAAGCTAATAACATAGTTAAAATAAGGTATTAATAGAAAATAATAAAATCTTAACTTCATTATAATAAGGGTGGAAACATTATCCAAACAGCCAAACATGAAGAGACAGATTTCAAGGAAAATATGCTATCAATTTTTGATATCAGAGAAATTAAACAAAATTCACTCAAAGTCTGTAATATTTGATAATGTCGATAAACTGCCGTCAGAAATAGGACAAAGCTTATTGAAATGCATTACCAATATATTGGTGGCAGGAACCGAGTAAGAACTTTTGCAACTTCTGTTTGATTTCTGTTGTCATCAGATGCCGGTGCATGCAATCTTATTCGGCTTCTGTTAATTTACTGGCGTAGTACATCAGTAAATTCTATCGATAGATATAGATAGATAGAATCTTAATACGGACATGGACAAATATAGATCTACTATAGGAATCTGATCAAATTTGCTGCCAATCTGTCAATAAACTACTAGCATTTTGCTATATGGGTACACATATGTATTGATAATAACTATGTATGCACAAGTACAAATATATTAGTAAAACTTATTTTTTTTTAGCTGAACTTCTTGCAATGTCCATTTTTTTCTTCTTTTTCTTCAATATGAAAAAAAGAGGAAAGTTGAACTGTGCAAAAAGTTTAAAAACATCTCTTTTTAAAACAGATCTCAAAGCTTTTTTTTTCAATTTTTTTCAATTGCATTTTTCCTTCTCAATATCGTATTTGTTTCATTGTATTTCGAAAATGTGAAATAAAGATACGAAATAAAGACATACAGAATCGTCGAATGCAATTCCCAAGCATCCTAATATATCCAGTTTTTCGTTCAGAATCAACGGTTTGTGCATAATGCTCGGCCCGTAGTGCGCAAAGGTGTCGTGCACATTGAAGGATGAAGTGGCGATTGGGATCGAGATGCATTCACCGCGGCAATCACCCCAAACATAGAACCGTCCTGTTTCAGTGACAGCGATGCTAATATTGTGCAGAGCCGCAATGTCGACCCATCTGATCTCTTCCGTTTGAGCGATCTGATTGGTATAATTATTGATCATACCTTTGCTTTATCTTTCCTTTTGTTATTCTATTTCCTTCAAAATAATGATAAACATAAGTCTACCATGTTTGGTGTACAGAACTCCGACTGGAGGCCGAACCCCAACTGGCCGAATTTGTTTCCACCCCAGGCGTAGATAGTCGCTTTGTCTGTGAGCACCAGCGTGTGATTTGATCCGCAAGTTACCTTGTCTGTAACAATACTGCTCAATGATTCTATTTTGCTTTGTTACCATCTTCTTCATTTACTGCTTTATCGAAAAGAGAATTACCTACAATAAGGCTTCCCGGTACACCAATCAACAACTGCGGTTTCATATTTTCATTCTCATAAGTGCCTATCCCTAATTGGCCAACGTCGTTACTGCCCCAACCATATACCTTGCCATTTTTTTTAACAGCCATGGTGAAATTATCACCGCAGGAGATACAACCAACATCAGACAAAATGAGCTTAGGAAATCCATAGATACCCACCTGTCCACTATTATTTGATTCCCAGGCATACACCTTAATCAAATCAATTATTTAACTTATATGATAACAGAGGCTTATCATCGTCATACAACGATGTTTACTTACTTCATCATTATTAGTTAGAATGATGGAATGTTTATTGCCGCATGCGATGTCCATGCTTCATGTTCTGACTGTCTTGAATAGTAGGGATGTTTATTAAAGTAAATGTAAGATCCATATTAAATGTTTCATTCTTCAATTGACCAATGTTGTCACACGAATATACCTTTTGCAAACATTATTATCATTGACTCTAATATCTCATAAATGCATCTATTAATTTGGCGATTTCATAAAACTTTTGATGATTATTTTAGAATTGCTGGATGCATGAATGAAAAATGATAAAGTAGAGAAATTCAAACATCAATTTTTTTGTATATAAGCATCCCCTCTTCCATAGCAAAAAAACTTCATAGTGACCTAGTTTCCACCAAGAGTTTAAACTGGATTAGAATGTAAGAACCAATCAATTGTAGTCGAGTATTCCTGTTACAGTCGAACGACAGGGGAATTAGTTGGTTGGTTCTTACATTCTGATCCGGTTTAAACTCTCGGAAACTAGACCAGTGATAAGTTATAATAGACTCACAATAACTTCATAAGCAAGTTGTGATGTCACTATACTTTACAGTCCATCTACGGTGGTGAATGAAATGACTATGCTTTGTGAAGCTTGTAATCACATGTTGTAATCATACACTGTGGTAGGAGGAACTCGAGCGAATGATCAGTTTGCACAAACTAGACTAAAATTCATTGGACTCATAATCGTTCTCTTTGTGAATGGACTATATGAAATTATCAAAAGATCACTGTAATGTCAATGGCTGCGTTCACCATGAAAAGCAGCTTCGTAACTATTGTAAAATTCTTGAATATTATTGATTTATACATTTAGATTAAGTGAGGAATTAAGGAAAGATCAATCATAATAAGGAATTTTACAACAGTTGCAAAGCTGCTTTTTCTGCTGAACGCAGCCATTATTACTTTAATCTACGTATCATCATAGAGATATTATCTGTGATAAAGCATACATTCATAGAGTCATGCTTTTATATTTTTATGGAAGACATTAACTATTTTATCACTTATTTTTCACAAGATTACCAGAATGAAACTTAATATTTAAGAAATTTATATATTTCATGAAAATTATATAGATATTAGTTCAAAGGGAATGAACAGAATTACATACATATATTTCAGTAAAGCATGTTACAAAGAGCAATTAAAAGTTCATTCCAATGTACAATTTACTAACAAATTTTTACCTCTCCTCCATTCGTGAGTGCCAACATGTGAGATCCCCTGCCATACGCAAACGTCTTTATATCTTTTCCACACAAATCCTTAATCTCCTTCAGATATAACATAGTAGAGCTTTTGTCTCTGCTCTCCAAAGCATGGAGATTGTCATTCATCAGGTATACTTTCTTATCCTTTGTTACAATTAAGGCCATTTTACCCAATTCACCTGTTTTGAGACGTTCGGTAAGTAATAATACTGCCAAGAGACTAATACACAAGAAAAGAGAACAAAATAAATTACCAAATATCATAACTATGTGAATCTCGGAAATAAATTTTGGCTCCAGTGAACTGAAGACTGGCCAGTTACGTAGATTCGAGCACATATTGCTTCACGGGATTATCTACTTTGCGAATGCTTTGTTTAGTTTCTTGGTATCTCTTTATCCCGTTTCAAGCCGACCTTTCATATATAAGTGTCTGCAGTTGTCAGTGAAATAATGCTAATCTGTAATAAGTCATAATCAATAACTGAACAAATCAAAATCGAAAAAGAATTAGTAGAACAAAAAATCCTTATATGTGAACTTCAACTAACTTTGATTATTCTGTAAATAATCAGATTTCCGGTTGAATCAAGAAAACAGCCGCTGTAATTATTTTGCACAAAAAAGAGCTATAACAAATTGACCACTTATAGTCGAATGTAAGGAGAATGAACTTGAATATTCGATAAATGTTGAGAAGACCCCGGTTCACTCAAATTTTGATAAAAATATACTCAAGCATTTTCTTGTGAAAATGAAAAATCTACAAGAAAATCGCCGTGTTTTTAACCATTGCTAACGTATCGTGAATCCACGTAAACCTTAGGTCTGTTCTATTTAGCTAAAGTTTCTGCATGGTTATATTTCTTCCTTTTTTTCAACATAGAAGAGAGAAAAAGAGAAAATATGAACCGTGCAAGAAGTTCAGCTAAAAAACATAAGCCTCTCTTGCTGTTTCTCTTCATCTATGAAGAATAGAGACTATAGTGGAAGAAACTCCGATTGTATGGGCGGAACCCATAAATGTTGCTCAAGATTCGAGATGATTTTAAGTTAGTGCTTAAGAGATCATGGACCAATCAGAGAGCCGTATTAGCATCTTAAGGATATCCGTTCCGGATTTCGCATGAAGCGCATAGGCCGGTATTCATAATCGAGTCTTATTTCAAGACCGTCTAAAGTAATGTTTTAAGTCGCTAATGCAACCTTCTAATTGGTTCGTGACATCTTAAGATTGTATTCAAGACTTGAATATAAGATCAGACTATGACCGGCATTCATAGTCAGATCTTATATACAAGATCATCTTAAATACGGTCTTAAGAAGTCAATCAGAAGGCTGCATTAGCGTCTTAAGACATTACTTAAGACAGTCTTGAAATAAGACTCAATGAATATTGGCCATAAACACAATATATTGTTATGCCCCGAGTGAGGACGCTGAACTAGAGTGAGGAGCACAGACAAGCGACATGTCCCGGCAAATTCAAATTAGGATTATAACTGTCATATTTAGTGAAAAATATAAAAGCCCATCAGAGCCTACATCAGTTGTTCGGATGCACAGAAAATTCTTTATTTTCGTGTAAAACGAATAAAATATATTCGATCCTTCGAGTCCTTATCAATATAAAATATAAATCGGAATTACATAAATAACGTAAATTCCAAGTTGCTGATTCTTCGACATAAAAATTATTCAACATTAGAGAATTTAGAAACACAATTTTTCCTTTAATCAAGGGGATAAAGTAAGCATGTGCTAGTAAGATTAACATAGAGAAGAAAATTTTTTCTTTAATCAAGACAATGAAATCATTTATTAAAAACAATCCACATATTCTTTTTACAAGGGCGGATAAGGATAATGTGGTATTAATGTGGACAAGACGGAATACGTAGAAAAAATGGAAACTTTATAGTTTGATACTGAGACTTATAAGTTATTGACACACATTCCAGTTAATAAAATGTTAACACAACTTAAGAAGTTATTAAAGGGATGGAAGCAGCGCGGAGGTTTCATTGAGAATTCTGTTTATAACAAATTGAACGCTCCTAACTCTGTTGCGCATCTTGCATATAGTCTTCCGAAAATACACAAGATAGGTCATCCATTTCATATCTCCATTTCGTAGTTTCTTTAGTGGATAATCCTCTCTATAATTTAGCCTCTTTTTTAAATGACATATTACACAAGTATACCAATAGCAAACAATTTTATCAAGAATTTTTAACACTTTTACTAAATACATCTCTAATTTGACAATGACAACAAAGTTCTTTTATCCCTTGACGTGGTTCCGTTATTCACAAATGAATCTACTGACTTGGTTTTTGAAGGCATAGAGAGGAGATGGCATCTCATTGAAAGAAAAACGAACATTCCCAAAAGTGAATTTTTTAAAGCGTTGGAATTAGTTCTTAATTCAACAATTTTTAGTTTCAACGACAAATTTTATAAACACTTTTGGTGTTCCGATGGGTTTACCATTATCAGCCATTGTATCGGATATTGTTATGCAAGATCTTGAAATGAAAACATTACAGAGACTTCCAATTTCATTATCTTTTTAGGTGAAGTATGTTAATGATATTGCATTAGCATATGATGCTTCATTGATACGCTGGTGAACACCTTCAATTCATTCCATTCCAGATTAAAATTTATAATTAAAATAGGTGGGGACAAGTTAGATTTTCTTCATGTCAGTTTAATTAAAAAAGGAAATTCTCTTATTCAGAATTGGTATCACAAACCTACTTTTTCTGACCTACGTTATCTAAATTATTTTTCTAAATCCTTTATGCCAAAAAGGAACAATCGTTGGTTTAATTGATAGAGTTCTTTCTTTGTCCAGCCCTATTTACCATCAAGAGAACTTCGAATTAATAATTAAAATTTTTTTAAACAACGGATGTCCACTGAAACTTATATTCTCTGAAATCAAAAAGAAGTTGTCAAAAAAATGTAAACAATGGAATAATCAGGGTAACACACCTTCGGATAAGACAACGGAGAATAATGAAGATAAAATTGATCACAAATTTTTTACAATCGCCTTTATACTACTTTTATCTTATTTATATACTACTTAGAAAAGATCAAAAAATTTTTTAAAAAAGACTCCTTAATACACATGGCATATAAAGGAATTAATAGTCTTAAGGGATTTATCAGGGGTCATAAAGACGTTCATCCCAAGCTATTTCACACAGACGTTATACATATATAAAATTAATTATTGAGATTGTGAAGCATCATATGTAGGCCAAACAAGTAGATGTTTAAAGACACGCATAAATGAACCTAGAAACCACATAAATTGGAACACTACACAGCATTTTGTAATAACAAAACACAGAATTAGTCATCAACATGATTTTAATCACGAAAATGTCAAGATATTAGACCAGGAAAAGGTACTTAATAAAAGACTGCTATCGGAAGCGATCCACATAAAGTAATAGAAATAGAATTTGAATTTACAGAATGATACATATTCTTTAGACTCACTATACATGAATTTGTTTATGGAATTGTAACGTTGATTTTACCCTCTTTTCTTATTTCTATTTTTATTTCAATAACTATTTGACTTCATTATTTTGATTCTATATAACAATAATTAATTACCTTTCAAATCGACGATAAAGTAGAATTAGAGTTGAAGTTGATCAGCGCAAGAAACAGCGTATGAGAGAGATAGAATTAGATTCAGTATTGGATTTACGTTTGAGACAGAGGAATAGGATATCTTAACGTAACGAGTGCTCGAGACAACTGTGCTCCATGAAAGTTACCGGTTTATCTTCGAATCTCGGATAAAACAAAGAAAGTACTGCGACAGTCAATCGAGCGTCTATTCTTCTATTTGAACAATAAAATAATTATTCTGTTTCTTTAGATTTTGGTTTTTTTGTCCTTTTAATTTCCTTCTTTTACCTTGTAAAGCAGTAGATTAATTCCGATATATTTAAATTCGAATACGTATGCTTCTCTATAAGCGCTCATTTCACCACTAGGCAATAGTTTCGTTGCTTATTACAAAAATAATGTACTTAGTTAATGTACTTAGGTGTTATACAGATTATTGTAGTAAGCTAGAGCATTAGAGTTAAACTATGTATATAAAATATTTGTTAAACGGAAGATATATAATATATACGTATATACTAATAATAATTATAATTGTGATAAATGTCCAATTGTTGTCGCAATAATAAAAGTGAAATTTCTATAAAGTTGAATCCATTGAATTCATTTCCATAAAGTTTGAGAAATTTTAAATTTTGATTTTTGAAAGGGATTTCTATAAGCCAGTGCTTAGTTTATGTTACGAATTCCTTCGAAATATTAGGGGTACAAATAAGTTCGTGCGGTTTTTTCTCGAAATTTGGGGCTTTATTGTGAAAAACCGGTTACAATGTAATCAGAGTCACTTCCAATGATAATGCAAGCTCTTCTTGCGTTTGACATGGATCTTCATCGAGTAATGCCTCTAATTCTGCGTCTTCAAATTTTCTTGGACATCCGGCACGCTCTTGGTCTTCCAAGTCAAAGTCACCACTCTTAACCGTGCAAACCACTTCTGACACGTTCGCTCAGATAGAGCATGGTCACCATAAACTTCCACTAAAATACGATGACTTTCGGCAGCACTTTTCTTCATATTGAAGTAATGCAGTAAAACTCCCCGCAAAAACACTTTATTTGGTACAAAGTTCGACATATTTGACGAAGTAAAAATATTGTTGTTTACAATTCGAACAAATGACACATACTGAACTTAATACCTACTAATGACAGCTATCCAACGCATACTTAGAAATACGGAACGGTGGAATGAAACAGTAGTTACGCCATCTCTTTCAAAACCGCACGAACTTATTTGTACCCCTAATATAATAATTATCTTTCCTTAGAGATAAGAGCGCGCGACACTCCTTTGTGTCGCCTACGTTGGCTTGCTAAGAAAAAAAGATTCAATGAATATATTTGATTATTTTATTACTACTTGATAATTATTTATTAACTTAGATCTCTAAAGATTATAGAAATGTATTGTTATATAGAAAAAGGGTATTGTATAAATTTATATATATATATATATATATATCTGTGAGCAATAACATTGAAGGAAAAGAAAATGAAAATAAATGGAAATATTGTACTATTATATATATTGTGTTACATTAATTAGTTATATATTTCCATAATCATGGCAATATTCCATTTATTATAGCGAATTTTTGTTGTCAACGTAATGTCATGTTCATCAGAGTGCACCGGAAATTGTATGTATGGCGCGATCTCTTAAAGCTAAGTAGAAGTACGTTCATGTTTATTTTATTAGCGGACATTACAGCACCTTTGGTGTTAGTGTTGGCCAAAATGGAGTGCGCATGCGCGAAATAAGTAAGTTGCCATTTAAATTTCTTCTCAATTGCTCTTTATTTTTCCGTTCTATCTCTCTCTCTCTCTCTCCCTCTCTAGGTCGTTTGTGCATTCAGTGCAATGCATTAATTTGCTGGGGTCGTTTGTGCATTCAGTGCAGTGCGTTAATTTGCTGGGTCATAATAGCGGCTCGACTTATTGAAAAAAAGAAAATGCAATACTAAAAAGTAGATTAAAAATTCTGAAAAAATTCTTAGAGTTCTATGAGAAGAAAATAAATGATTTTTGTCTCTTGCAGTTTTTCTGTAAAGTTAGTGATAGTATTTAAGTAAAAAATGAACGTCGATAAGTCGGCCC